GTTTAAATTTAGCTTATATTCTTCATGATAACACAGTCGTGTTATATAGGAAATATCCATTTGGAGGGGAGGTTGTTCACATGCTTATTTTGTCAGTAGATTGTTAATGATGAGTGTGCATTCTAATGAAATTGGGTTTTGGGAGAGTTACTTTTTGGTTCCCCATGGTGCCAAGGGCAAGAGAAGCCACTGGGCTTCAAGAGCCCAGGCAGGGGACTTGCTCTGTTTCTGCTGACACCGATGGCAGCAGAAGCCAGCTCTGCTAGCCCACAGCAGTATTCTTATGCCAGAGTGTGGAGATGGCACTGCACTCAGTTTTAATCTTGCCACAACTACCACAAATATAGCACCATAAAAACTCCTAAAGCTACACAAATTCACCGCTTTACTTAGAGGGCAGGAAATAGGCAGGCACTTGCAAATATTTCTTCTTCGTCTTGAGCTGCTTGGCTTGATTTATGTGTACGTAGGATTCTGTGCACTGAAATTGCAGGAGCACGGAAAGCCCAGGATCCTAATGGCTGAGCAGGTAAAGCAATGGTGTCACACCCCATTTAAAGCAAGCCACCCAAAGTGCTACCACAACTGATTCTGACTTTGGTAGTCTGAACTGTCCACAGCAACAAAAAAAATCGTTATTGCCTTGTAGCCTATGCTGTATTTTCACCTATGAATACAGTTTTTGCTTTTTCAGTTTGCTGTCTGTTGGAAATGCAAAGATGATTTTCTTTTGGCTGTGTATTTCTGTTGGTTGTTTTTCTTTTTTAATTAAATTAGGCAGAACGGGTGGCATTACTAAGCCAAGCATTGGTCAGTAGGCTAACTCCAGTGCTGGTAGTCTAAATGGCTTTAATGATTCCCTCCATCCATAAATACGTAAAGCACCTGGGGGGTAGACGCCCCAATGCTACTGAATCTTTGTAGGACTATGGCCAAAAGAGGACAGTTAATTATTTTGACCTAAGCTTCTAAATTTCCTGTCTTCTTTCCAGTAATTCAAAATTACCCCAAGTTTTAGAAGTTATCAACATTCAAACCACACTTTAAATGGACTTTTTTTCATATCAAAATTTATAATTTCATCTTGGTGCTACTGTAGCTGTTGGTATTGATACCGCATGGAATGATTTTTTTTTTTCCCCCTACCAAAATGTCAGCTATTAAATGTATATACTCATTATCTCAGTAATTTCAAAGCTGGGTATCTGGAAGGCTGCTTTTTTAGTTGTATAACTTACAAAACACTTTCATGTCAGTGATCCCCCATTTTAAAAACAACTGAGGACGGTGTTTTAAGCTGCATTCCAGTTCTAAACTGCATTCCTCTCCCAGTCCAGTTGCATGCACATTATTTCAGCTTCTCTTGCTCTTCTTTAGAAAAATAGTTTAAAAAAAAAAAATCTTTCTCTGCAGTTTTCCATTTCACAAGCCTAGGAGAGTTCTTGCTATGGGAAAAGAAGTGTTTTGCTTGACCTCTACTGCTGAAATGCTCACTACTAAAAATCAATTAAAAAAACCTCCTAAATTCTGATTCTCAGTACAGCGTTCATTCTTGTGAAAGAACAGGTAGAGTTGCAAAGTTACCTGTGGCCATCAGCCAGTTATGTGTTGTTTTAAATCATACTTGCCCTTCAGACCTCAAAACCTTTTTTTTAAAAAAAATCTTTCTTACAATTATACTGGTTGGACTTTATAACAGAGAAACAACAACCAAGAAAAATGGTAAAAATGTATTTGCTTAAATAAGTTTCACATTTTATTTAGATGACTATGGTATCGATAATTTAGTAAGATAGTCTTACATTCAAATAAGATTTTTCTCTTGTGTGTGAACCT